CATAATTCCAAAGAGAACTAGCAATGTTACAACTCAGAAAGTTTATGCATACCAATTCCTTGAACAAGCTTCTGAAATGTCGCATTCGGTGGTGATTTCGTGAAAAGGTTGGTCAGATTGTCTTATGAATGGATTTGCGTGACTTCAATATTTTAATGCTCTTGTTGTTGATGTGAGAAGAAGAACTTAGGCGCAATGTGCTTGGTGTTGTCTCCTTTGATGTAACCTTTCTTGAGTTGTTCGATACATGCTGGATTGTCTTTATAGATCGTCGTCGGGACATCAACGATGAGGTAAAGATTGCAGGAGCTTCAATTATAGCCCATAACTGCTCTTAACCAAAAGCATTCCTGAATTGCTTCGTGTAAGGCGAGAATTTCATCATGGTTAGACGAAGTGGCAACTAAGGTCTGTTTAGTTGACCTCCAAGAAATTGCGGGGTCTTCAACGGTAAAGACATAACCCATTTGAATGCATACCTTGTACGGATTAGATAAGTATCCTGTGTTGGCATAACCAACAAGACGAGAATCGACTCGTGATAAGGGGGTGTGGCATCACTCGAGGATTCATAGGGATAGAACAAGCCCAAATCTGTAATACCCTTAAGGTAATAAAAGATGTCTCTAACGCCAGTCCAGTGTTTGCAGGTTAGTGCATTACTGTATCTTGCCAAAAGATTAACAGCGGAGGAGATATTGGGTCTAGTGCATTGAGCTAAGTATAATAAAGCGCCTACAACACTTAGGTAAGGAACCTCAAGCTCCAAAATCTCTTCATCATCATTCTTCGGACGGAAAGGGTTTCATTTTACATCTAGCGATCGAACAACCATAGGAATCCTCAAAGGCTTTGCTTTGTCCTTGTTAAAGCGGCGCAACACCTTTTGGGTGTAGTTCGTTTGATGTACTTATAGACATGTAAATTTCGTTGCATACAAATGATGCATCGCAAAGCTCTACTGGCATATGACTCATCATAAATGGATAAGTCATTAATGACATGCGGTACAAGTCAAGCAAATGAGGTATAAAACTTCCCCAAAATTCAGCAATAAGGGAGAATCCCCCTTATATTCGGCTAAGGAATCCAAATTGATCCTAAAATTGGAAAGAAAGTTAAAGCATCTTCATAAAATAAGTAAGAATTGAAGATTGCTCACAAAATAGACAACAAGATCCTTAAATTTAGCCAATGGAGTAAAATGGTTGAAATTAAGACACAAAACATGCTTAAAATCATCCCAAAGGCAAGCTTTGAGAACTTATAAATACAAGGTCCTCCCATAAGAATAAGGATAAAAAAAATCTCTACACAGAAGAACCTCTGCCAAACCTTTAAGGACTAATACACTGGCCAAAGCTCTTCGAAGAACATTAAACCAAAGTCGAAGCTTTCTCTCGACCAAAGGCGAAGCACTTCCTTGAAGAATCAACAAGAGCTTGTGCATTCCTTCAAGACTTTGTTGTAATCTTATAAACTTGTAGTAGCGTTTGTTTCAAGATCAAGTCGCCAAAACCCTTGAAGCAACGAAATCCCGCATCAAACACTGCCCTTTGCTGCAACTTTGAGGTGAAGACCATCCATACACTATTTTAAGCTCAAAACTTGAAGCAATAGTTCAACCGTTCATCTGAGATCGAGTCATCGCGACCTTTAGATTAACAGTCATGCATCTACATCAAATTTGAAGATTGAATGAGAGGAAAATTGTAAACAGAGATTGTAACCTATAAGTTCAAATCAATACAAATTTATTTCGTACACGTGTTCTCGTTTCATTCTATACAGAATTTTCGTGTTTACACTACTAAGATTCCATTTGAACGGTGCTCTATCTCGAGACCGAGACAATATAAGTCTTTCCTAGATCTTTCATCTCAAATTCCTACTTCAGGCGCACAGCAATTCTCGCGAGCTGTTCAAGAATTTCGATGGGATTCATGTCATCAACATATACTGCAACTATCGCAAAACTGGAATGTGACTTCTTAATGAACACACAAGGGCATAGTTCGTTAACACATTCTTTCGAATTGCTTCAAATCGTAGAGTGAACACCTCACCCGAATTGAGAGCGTGTTCCGAGGTTTGGAAATATTTGATCCAGTCAATGTAAGTTATTTAGGAACTTTCATCTAAATTTCCGTATCAAGATCCCCTTAAAGATACGCAGTTACTACGTCCATCTGCTACATACTCAATTTTTCAGAAACTACCAAATAGATAAGGTAGCGAAAAGTAATCACATCCATAACGGGTGAATAAGTGTCGTTATAATCAATCCCAGGGCATTGTAAGAAGCCTTGCGCAACAAGATAAGCTTTGTAACACACAATTTCATTATTCTCATTACGTTTCCAAACGAAAACCCACTTGTAGCCAACAGGCTTCACATTTGGAGGAGTATGAGCTACAAGTCTAAACACCTTACATTTCGCAAGTGAATCGAGTTCAACTTGGATTGCTTGTTTCCAGTTTGGCCAATTGGTTCTATGTCGACATTCATCAACGAAATGAGGTTCTATATTGTCGCTCAACATGATCTCAATAGCTACTACATATGCTAATGCATCATCAACGATCAACGATCATCTCATTTCTATACTACCCATCATTTCAGCTAGCATAATAGATCACAATCTCACGATTCTCGGGAGGTGGATTCATCTTTTCAAGGACACTTTCGTAATCTAGAATTTCCTTATGAGTTGGATATAATGTGTAAACGACAATCGGATACATGGTAGGCTTTTCATGGGCTTGTGCCGTGGGTTTCCTCTTCCGGGGGTGTGAATCTTTTAAGCCATGAGGTCTGCCATGCTTATGTGTAGGGGTAGAGGATTGGCTAGCCACTAATGTATGTGGATTAACCAAAGTGGCATCCCGGGCATCTTGGAGGGAAGTCCGTTGTACATTTGGTACATCCATCTTTGTAGGCACATCCACAGTCAAAATATGTGATCTTGTCACTCAGAATAGATAGGTCAAAGCGTCTGGCATGCTCTGAGCTATGTTCTGAAGATCTAATATAGGCTACATTTTAGTTTCAGATTGAGTGATGTGGGGATCTAAATGAGACAAAGTGGGAGTCGTCCACGATAATTCGCGTCATTTATCAAGAACGTTGACGTTCTTATCTCCCCTTAAAGATAGGAAGACTGTCTCATAGAAGTGTCAATCCGCGAAATCAGCAGTAAATTGATCGCTTGTCAAAGGTTCTAACCAATGAATAATCGAAGGAAAATCATATCTAACATAGATTCCCATCCTTAGCTGAGGCCCAATTTTTGTATGTAAGGGCGGCGAAATCAGCACATAGACCGCACAACCAAAAATGCGCGATGTGATATGTCGAGTTCGTATCTGGTGACCAACTAAAATGAGCTATATGATTGGGTCCCAACAGGCCTCAGGCGGACCAATATGGCTGCATACAATATTGCATAGCCCCAAACAACGATCGGGAGCTTGGTACATATGATTAATGATCGAGCAATCAATTGTAAGGGCTTAATGAATGCCTCTGCTAGGCCATTCTGGGTGTGAACATAGGGTACATAATGTTCAACATCAACTTCACCTAACATGCAGTAGTCATCAAAAGCTTTAGATGTGAATTTCCCAGCTTTATCCAATCGAATAGATTGGATTGGATAATTAGGGTGGTAAGCCCTGAGCTTGATAACCTAAGCCAACATTTTAGAGAATACAGTGTTCCTTATGGACAACAAGCACACATGTCCCAAGCACAACTGCAGGTCATGATTTCCTAGGGAAAACGGTAGTAAAGCCATGGCCAACTACAGGCAACACTGGGTCATGGGTTTGATACCAAAAACGGCATTGTCTTAGATGAAGCATGGGTTTGGCTCTGGTGCATTGTGGCCCAGAGAGGCTCACTCGAGCTCGGGTGTGCGTCACAGGTCATAGGTTTCAAGAACCTTAAGAGTTTCTCATTTTTTTTCTTTTTTTCAGAGATTGTAATTCAATGCATATTGACAAATAATTTTAACGAATGAACATATATTTGATGCAATTCATGGAAAATATCAAATTCACATAATTTAACAATTATGGATATAATGCATACACAATTTATGTAGAATCTAAAATTCGAAAAACGTAAAGTTGGGTTATGCATTGTGGTGAATGTTTATGCTATCAGGGCTACAAAAATATCGAGAAAAAATTGTTGTTTTAGAAGAACGAGCTGATTGCATGATAATATGGATGAACTAGTTTGATGCAGAAAGCTTCCACTTCAAAATCCTAGGCGTAGCGGTATGAGCGTACTGATAATGTGTTGTGGCCTATATTTAACTGACAAAGGAAGAGGGTCGACGGCAAAGAGAGAAAAAGAGAGGTGTGTTTGTAGAATTGTGTAGAGAAATGTGTGTGGTATCCCCCCTATGCAGTGCCTTTATTTATAGTAGTAAGGGAAAGAAGAAATCCTTCATCCCCAAGGAATACAAGTCCATATAGGAAAAAATAACTAGAATGAAATCTAATATAGGATTTACACAATCACACTTAAACTAGAAAGTTTACAACAGTATTTAGTTTTTTGAACAAATGTTACTATACTAAAAGGGAGAGGGTGGGTTTAGCCTCACAATGGGCTAGCAATGATTGGGTTCAAATTCGTCTTTCGCGAGGATCAAACCTAAAACCTTTCACTTGCAAGTGAAAAGGATTATTAGTAGATCATTGTACTAAGTGGCCTGTTATTATTATTATATTTTTTTATTTACTTGAAATTGAAGATTTATGTGCAGTTGGACATAAAATAAATAAGACACAATATTTACTAGGTTCGGCAAGTGTGGCTAAGTACTCGGGATAGTAACAGTAGTCTCTCTCATTATCAAAATGAAGTTACAAAGCAATGAAAACAAGAGGTTGTAGATTTACTTCTATATAATATTTGCGAGCTGATAGGCCTTTAAATATGAAAGCATATAATTCGTGCTAAAACCAAGAAATATGATAGTAAACGCCACATTTTCAACGTTTGTTGGCTGACAGGAAGTGTTGGAACGGTGAATGGGTCATCCACTTTTATAACACAGAAGAAATTTCCACACACATAAAAGAAACTTTGCATGGAACAATGGAAGAATCATGAAATGATAATTAATTAATGGTCAACCCTTGACTTAGCATGCAATACTCCGTTGTAAGTCAAGTAACTACTTTTTACAAAATAAAAAACCTAAAACGCGTCTTAGACATCGCGTTATATATATAAGTAGTTGTATGGGGACGAAGGAGCCAAACTTGTATATCAATCAGCAATATGGTTCACAAGGCTAGCGTTGTTTACATGATTCCCATCATTATATTGTTATTGTTCTCATCCGAAGTAGTCTTTGCCAATGTTTCTGAAAATTCAAAACATAGTATGTATTTTCAGTAGCTAATGTATACATTAAATCTCACACACACACACACTCTCTATCTCTATCTCTCTCTCTCTCTCTCTCTCTCACCTACACATATGTATACATTAAATCATTGTTTAACATACATATGTTTGGTAACTAATGATGAAGTTCCTGATCTTGTCATTGCAGATGATGTAGAGACGATGGTCAGTAAGTCGCGTCTGCAAATGGAGATTATTAAGGCAATGAAAGTACGCGTACCAATACCACAAAAGCCATCTGGAGGCGGGTTACCATAAACTAAGTAGTAATTTGGTTTGTTTTTATGTTGGGATAATTTATAAGGTACTTTTTGTAATTTCGAAAGTTCTGGCAAGATGTAATCTTTTGGATTAAAGTCGTTTGCAATTTGTAATCCTCTTTATTTTGTGTCTATGAATAAGAATCATAGTTTATAATTAATTTTTATTATTTCTCATCATTTTATTAGTTTACATGGTATGAGAATGGGTTGACTCCTGAAATTCATTATGCTCTTGTTCGATATCATTTTGTTTATCCTTCTTTCTAAGTTTACAATTAAATCATTATTCAACATTATATTACATCATAACAATATTACCTTTCATTAAAAAAAAAAAAAAAAAAACTCTTTTAATTTTTAGCACTCCGGTTACTGAGAGAGAGGATCGTGAAGAATCAATTGATTTACTAATACAAGAAACATGTCGATTGCTCTAGCAGTTAAGGTCTTCATGCTCAATCCATTGCATTCTATGTTCAAACACTTTTATCTCCCCTTATTGTAGATTCGTGTTGATTATTATTTGTAAATAAAAATATACGTTAGATAAAATAAAATAAGCTTATGAAAATGTTGATGGACTAAGGGACCAAAACCCAACAAATAAACAACCTAGTTAAAAACGGTGAGATCCCCAGTCGTTTCAATCTTGCAAAATGCAGCACTTAAATGAAATATATTAAATAAGAAGATGAGAACACACTTAGGAAAACTAACGAAAAGGGCTGGAAAACTTTGAGTTTTAACGATAAGAACAAAATAAAGAGTAAATTAAATAGTACCATGATTGACTTTTTAGTGTAAAAATGTGGTTTTTCATTGAAGTGAACAGTACCGGGACCTTTGCGTTAAAGTTATCTTTTTCTTTTACGTGGTAAAACCCACACACATTTGAAAAATTTCATGGGCACACTGCCAATTAAAGAATCCACTAATGTCAAACAAACAAGTATAAAACTCATACAAGACACAATTTTTTTTTTTTTTGTTTTTTTTGTTTTTTGAATACACACACACACACACAAATGATAGCGTTAGTTATTGAATTATTAGTCAATGATTCAATTTAATCTAACCGTATAATTTCATGCGAGCTCTTTGATTTAGAGTTAAAGTGAGATATTAAGTGAGTCTTTCAGAGAATTCAACTCAATCATAATTCACTAAGGCCTTATGATTTGGAATGCTACTATCGTAGTTAAATACGTGGTCATTGTATCTAGTGAAACAAGGCCAATCATGAGCACTGTAGTGGAGTATAAATTATCTTAAAGAGAAAGAACCAAGTTCTTAACTTGACTGTATTTTCAAAATTAATTTCATGTTCATTTTAAAATTGAGTTTGCATATGAGTATGTATTGAATTATTGCAATTATTTTTTGATTCTCGGTGTGATTAAATATACCATTGATATCAAATACTTCATTATCATTTTGAGAAATTTTGCCTTACGAATTGTTTTCATTACCTAGCTAAAGTTCAAATTTGTTTCACAATATGAATATGTTCACACTGCAAACTTTCCAAATTTCTACTTTAAAGATAAGAGACGAAGACAAACACAAAGTGTGACAAAATTCAAAGTTTTCTCAGACAAAGAACTTATAAGTGTAACTAAAATTCAAAGTTTTTGTCTATGTAACTAAAATTCAAAGTCTTCTCAGACAAAGATCTTAAAAGTGTGTAACTAAAATTCAAAGTCTTCTTAGACAAAGACCATCTCATGTATTAATTAAGGTGAAGCGCCGATTTAGTCCTTGGACTATCAATTCAATGAAAATTAGGTCCCTGAATTATTTTTTCAGTAAAAATAAGTTCATGTTTAGTCAAAATGGTCCCTGCAATTTGCATAACACATAAAACTTTGATCCTTGAGATTTAAAATCAATAGAAGTGATCCCTAAGATTGTCCACCATCCATTATTTTGGTCATCCCTTTAAAAAACTCCGTTAAGTTGAGGGTATAAGACATAACTTTGGTCCTTGAGATTTGCATAACACATAATTTTGGTCCTTAAGATTTGCATAGCACAGAACTTTGGTACCTGAGATGCAGTCATATGTTTGATTAGATCTTGAAGAAAATTCATCAAGGATTACAAATCAAATATTGTTCATCTAACTCCACCCACATTGTGAATCAATCTCCATCGTCCATTCACAAGTTCAAACTTTATTGGCGCATGGGAACTGTTTGGTCCCAACGAAAATTGAACCTTATTTTGTCCCGGTGACCATTGGCACATTAGTCACACATCAAAACCACGACCCAAAAGAGTCAAAGTCATTTGCTTTGCTTGATTCTGTCTCAATAGACGTCAATTCAAATACTTAATATGTCACACGAAGTTTGCAGGAAAGCTCAACAAGAATATATTCGACATTTCTGTGCTTGTCAAGCAAACTAGTGATCATTTTAAACAAATTGGAATTGAAAGAATTGGGGCAGATACATTGCAGACAGCCACCTTTCCTTCTTCGTGGTTAGACATAAATCGATCTAATCTAATCTATACTCTATGAACCTCACCACAGAAAGATTTCCAGTCTATGTAAGTTGACCAGCTTCTATATGCAATGCATGCTTCTTTTTCAGTACATATTCCCCGATGATATCAATATCACTATCAGTTCAATGAAATCCATATATAATTTGGCTTCGTAATTATATCCACATCTTTCACCTTTTATCCACGATCTTGTACCTTTTCTCTCATTTTTTTAGCCAATTAGATTGTATAAATTAAAGGAAAATCAAATATTACATAACTAAACAGACGAGGGCAAAAGGTCAAATAGAACTATGAGACTCACTTTTCTTAATTTAATTCACCATGTGATTAAACTATTATTGTCATAGATAGGGAAAGTAGTCTACACAAATCAGTTAGTATGGCACGATTTGGTGCAGTCATGGTTAATACTCAATACCCTAGTTGGTCAAAATTCAATAGTCAAAGCCACCCATTATTTTTCCGTTGTTTACCTTTTCTTAAGACCTAATAAACCAGAAGTACATATATTATTTAAGTATATAGCCAATAGCCACCCATGCATGTGTAAAACACTAGTAAAAATAAATAGAAAAATTGACTATTATTGATATCACATGCTCTCACGAACCCTAGAATTTGTTAAGTATGATAACTAGCCCTTCATATTAGAAAATGTTCTTGTACAACGAATTTTCCTTCGTTGATGCAACATGTGTTACGTATGTAGGTGCAGGGGTAAAGTTAAAAAGTTAGATTATCTGGGGCACAATTAAGCAGTGGCGGATGTAGATCCTCGTAGAACCCCAAAGGCAGCAGGCGGAGCGCCAAAATTTTTTTGAAATTGTTTTAAGTGAGACATTTTATCGAGAACTTGTATAACCAGTACTCGTTGTATACTTAGCATACATCTCCATCCTTTTTTGCCATTTTAATTGTATCTTTAGATCAATATTGGTATAGTCCACAAAGAGATAAATCATATAGACTTTACTCCAATTTCTTCTTTGTGGACTATAACACTATTGATCTAAAGATACAATTAAAATAGCAAAAAGGATTAAGACCAAGTGATACAATTTGTGGTGGTGGTGAGTTAATTATTATTCACCATAAATCGACTCGACGTCATACCAAGCACGGAAGGAAGCTGCAATTGAACTTGATGGTACAAGATAAATAAATTAAAATATACTTTCTAAATATATATACCATTGAACTTGATGGGAAACACATTCTATGAAACTAGTTTCAACGATCAAACCGTCAAATGTTTGTATATACTCCGAGATCGCGTACGCCAAAAAATCTCAAAAAACAAACATTCAGAGATCAAGTAACGGGATAAAACTTTTCGACGGTTATAAACAAAAAAACATGATTTAACAATAGTTTTAACTTTGATTTTGATGATTTTTTAGAGCTAAAGTTGGGGAAAAAATCGGTAAAACATTCTTGGCTTGGCGTCAATATCTTGTGCGACGTTAAATTCAAAACGTCGCGCAAAGTAGCTTTGCGCGACAACACTTTGCGGGACGTAGGAATGCGTCGCGCAAGGATGTTTTGCGCGACGTATGTGCACCTTCATCGCGCAAAATCGCGTTGCGCGACGCATACCTTCGTCGCGCAAAGTGTTGTCGCGCAAAGCTACTTTGCGCGACGTTTTGAATTTAACGTCGCGCAAACATGCTTTGCGCGACAAAATTTGCTGCGTCGCGCAAGTTTCCGTCGCGCAAACATGTTTTTGTACTAGTGGATTGTCCACCATCCATCATTTTGGTCATTCTGTTAAAAAGCTCGGGGACCACTTAATGGAGTTTTTTAATGGATGGTGGACAATCTCAGGGACCACTTCTATTGATTTTAAATCTTAGGTTCAACACTTATTTGTGGGGTGCGATATCCTTCGAACAACTACAGGATATCCTTTATTTTGCTACTGCTAGGAAAAGGAGATGAAGAGAGGATGGTGATGCGGAAGGAGATGAGGAGGATGAAGAGGAACAACATAAGGGGAGTAAGAGGAGGCAGAGATCCGAATGGGCTTGCAAGTGGTTTAGTTATGCATTTCAAGTATAGTTTGTTGGTTTGATCGAGTACTAATAAGAGTCAAATTGTTGGGATTGTGATGAGTACTAATTCAATGTATAAGCATGTGTGGCCATATGAAAAAAAATGCCTAATTGGAGAAGCCATTGTGGTATTGCGAGATGAATGATTTGGCAACCATCCCATGAATTCTTTGATGGTCGACAACGGATAAGCAGCTAAACCATAAACAAGACCAGATGTATATAACTGAAAGCCTGAGAGGTATGACCGTATTTCAAAAGTTATGAACTTTAAGGATTGTGAAAATATTTGAATATTTGTATGAAATTTCGTGAATATTTAGGAATGTTTATGAATTCTTATTTTGAGAAATGTAATTGTGGCAACTGGCGATAAATGGCAGGTGGTGGGGATTCAGGAGATAGTGCCCTTCTGAGGCTAAGCACGTTGGAACGAAGAGGAAAGTCTGCTACGTTAGGGCTATGGCAAAGAAGAAGACAAAAGTGGCGTGTCACACGACATTGACATTTGACGTGATAAAGTGCCAAAAACTCCAAGACAGTGAGTTGAGGGAGCATTTTCTGTAAAAGGGAACGACGTTTAAAGAAATTGA